AAGCAACAAGTCTCTCTCTCTCTCTCTCTCTCTCTCTCTCTCTCTCTCTCTCCTTCACACACACATAAATAAAAAAAAGATTTTAAAAAGAATAACAACTGAAGAATCTCAAGGGGTCATTGTTAGATAATAGGACAAGGGTCTCAAGGTCTTACTAAATGCTATTCTTTTTTTAAAAAAATATATTTTATTGATTTTTTTACAGAGAGGAAGGGAGAGAGATAGAGAGTTAGAAACATCGATGAGAGAGAAACATCGATCAGCTGCCTCCTGCACATCTCCTACTGGGGATGTGCCCGCAACCCAGGTACATGCCCTTGACCGGAATCAAACCTGGGACCGTTCAGTCTGCAGGCCGATGCTCTATCCACTGAGCCAAACCGGTTTCGGCATGCTATTCTTACTACACCTTAAAATGTAGCTGCAGCCAGATGAGCTTGACACAAACTGCCTGAACCCAACAGATGCAAAGAAGAAATCCACATGTAATTAACCAAACCCAGAAAAGTTTGGCCAACTCCAAGGAGAAATCAACATGCAATTAATCAAATAGTCTCTATTCGCAATGGCTAAGCTTCCCTCTGAGGAGGCAGAGCTTTGGATGCGAATCCCATTTCCTTTACTCACTGCACGTAAATAAAACTACCTAATGACAACCTCATCTCATTCTTGAATAGACACCCAGGCGGCAAACCCCGTGGTAACTGTGTTGCTTCACACAGCAGAAGGCACTTTGCAGGTGTGATTAAGTTAAAGACCTCGAGGTGGGAAATTACCCTGGGTTGTCCAGCAGTCCGTGCAATCACCGGAGTCTGTAAAATTGGAGAACCTTTCCTGGTTATGGTCAGAGGGAGATGTGGCTGTGGAAGGCTGGTCAGAAAGATAGACGCTGCTGCTCTGAGTTTAGGGGCCAGGGGGCAGAGCCAAGGAATGTGGAAGCCTCTGAAAGCTGGGAAGACAAGGAAATGGGCTCTCCCCTAGAGCCTCAGAAGACACAGGCCGTCCACACCTCGATTTCAGCCCAATGAGACCCCTGTCCAACTTTGGCCTATAAAATTGTAAGATAATAAATCTGTGTTGTTGTAAGCCACTAAATCGGTGGTGATTTCGTTACAATAGAATACTAATGCAACAAAAAAAGATTGTAAACATTTGCCCTATGACCTCTGCTTCAAATTCTTTCTCTTCTCAGTTTCACTTTTAAACTATAGTCTCGTCACTGGAAGAGAATAATTGGAATGAGAACTAAGCTTGAAGATAAGGAACCAAAGTTGTAGTTCAGATTTGTACCAACTTGCTATGTGACTCAGAGCCTATTGCATTCCCTCTCTGAGCCTGTAACTAATTATTTTAATTGACAGTTTAATTGAACAAAATATTTAGCTAGGCATTCATTGTTCAGGGGTGTAATCCTTCCCCAATCACAAAATCTATTTATACAAAAATTTTAAATATGGATATTTATTCTTTCTGTTCAACTTTTATTTTTTTAAAATATATATTTTATTGATTTTTCACAGAGAGGAAGGGAGAGGGACAGAGAGTTAGAAACATCGATGAGAGAGAAACATCTATCAGCTGCCTCCTGCACACCCCAACTGGGGATGTTCCCGCAACCAAGGTACATGCCCTTGGCCGGAATCGAACCTGGGACCCTTTAGTCTGCAGGCCAAAGCTCTATCCACTGAGCCACACCGGCTAGGGCTCTTTCTGTTCAACTTTTAGGTAACTGAGAATTTCAGACCCAGTATATACAAATTCCAAGTCATTCCTTGTCACGACCTTGGTGCTTGGAGCTATAAAACTAAAAAGGCAGCAAATATCCCATAGAACAATATCTCTCTGTGCCAAAATAACCCAAGAAAAAAATGAATCCTAAACGTTTCAAGAAAATAAGGAAGGGTGTGTAGAATCCCCATTACTAGAGGAAGTGCTTATAAATTATTTAAAATGTCACGTATTGCCCATTCAATGACTTGCAGTAACAGGAATAACATTTATAGGCTTTTTCACAGGGTTACATACCCATCTAGTTGCTGAGCGCTCATGGTGGAGTCCCACAGACACCTGGACGCCGGTCATACCTTTGAGACCCACGGAAGTCAGGGAGTCCCTGGAATGTCCTGTTCCTTAAAAGTGGCACATTCCCTCCCAGCAGCGACCCCCCCAGACTTCCGACATGGGCTCCCGTGGTCCCAGCTGCGTCAGTTCACTCCTTCTGGGTCTGGCTTTCCGACACTAAGAGGTTAGATCTGATCGGCTGGGTAGGCATGACCAATTAGGAGGCATTTCCAGGTCCAGACGCCTTAGGCCACCAGGCCAGCCTAGAGGAGTGGGCCGCTCGCACGATGGCCAGCACCCCCGGCCCGGCTGTGTGCCCGGAGCAGCCTCAGCAATCGTGACAAGCGAATCTGCCTGTGCCTGTCAGGCCCAGGGCTGCCTGCTGGCAACCACTGCGTGGAAAGGTGGGTCCCATGCCCGTCCCTGGGTTAATCGGGGATTTAAGAGCCGGAAAGTGGGGTGTCGTGGCATTTGGTCCCTTTACTCAGACTGCAGCTGTGGCTGCCGCTTGAATTAGGAGAAACCCTCTCTCGTGGAAGGCCTGGAACTCCGTCACTGGGTGTCTCCCGCCGTGGGGGTTTGAGGTGTTAGTCACTGAAACTGGAAAAAGCACTGTCCCAGTGAGGCATATTGTGAGGGAAGGGAACGGATTTTTATTTTATTATAAAAGCAGTATGTGTGCATTGTAGAAAGTTAAGAAACACAGGTAAGAAAAAATAACACTCTATTCCTAACCCCTAGAGATTCCTATTGCTAATACCTTGAATTGGTCTTTTCTACGAGCTCAGCACATGGCCGGGCCTAGAAGAGAACCCCCTGAGTGTTGAGGACGGAATAGAAATGACTCCTCACCTCTAGTAGGAGGTAGGATGAGGGATCTCTAAGACAGCGCCACTCTCAGACTCCAGAGTGGAGGAGGCAGTGGGTAAGAGCATGATCTCTAGCATATGCGCGCATCCCACTGTAATACCCGTATACACACAGCCCTTCACCCAGGGCCTGGAGACCCAGTAAGCGGGAACCACTGTTATCATCATGTCATTGTTCCCACATTGATCCCTTCTCCTTTCCCCCAAACACCAAGCCCCTCAGCCCAGGGGCTGTAGGTAGAAAAGGTCTCCTAAGAGCAGACTGTGTGACCACACCCCAAAAGGAGTGTCCTGCCCTGGCTGGTGTGGCTCAGGTGGTTGAGCATTGTCCCCTGCACCAAAAGGTTGCTGGTTCGATTCCCAGTCAGGGCATATGCCCAGGTTGTGGGCTCAATCCCCAGTAGAGGGCATGCAGGAGGCAGCTGATCAGTAATTCTCTCATTATTCGCTAATTCTCTCATTGTTCTCTCTCTCTCTCCCCTCTCCCTTCCTCTCTCTCTAAATAAATCAATTAAAATATTTTTAAAACATATTTTTATTGAATTCAGAGACAGAGGAAGGGAGAGGGAGATAGACACATCAATGATGAGAGAGAATCATTGATCAGCTGCCTTCTGCGTACCCCACTGGGGATCTAGCTCAAAAGCTGGGCATGTGCCCTGACTGGGAATCAAACCGTGACCTCCCAGTTCACAGGTCAACTCGCAACCACTGAGCCACACAAGCTGGGCTAAAATATATATATATTTTTAAAAGAACACCATCTTCACAGTGGTCTTTGAGCTTAATTTTGAAATAAAATTTTTAAAAAGCCTGCTTTCATTAGAAAGTTGAGAGAGAAAAAAGATTTTGCAGAAAAGGAAATGGAGCCAGAGAGGTAAGATGCTTGAGGACCACAGCCAGTCACCGTCCCCCAGGAACTCACTTATGTGGCTCTCGACTGTGGAAGGTCACTAAGCGGTTCACAGAGCGGGGACTCGGGCATCTGGGTTCCGGTCACTGCTGCTCTGCTCGCTGTGTGACCGCGGGCCAGTCACGTCACCTTCCTAAACCTGTTTACTTGTCTACAAAATGGGGATAATTCCTTGCTGGGTTGTAGCCAAGAACAGAGCAATTGTAAACGTGCCTAGCCCAACGTGGACACTGCAGTAACTCAGAGTGGCCGTTGTGGGTCAAGGGAACAGCTGTTGGTTAACTCATGCCCAGAGGCAGGAGCTGGGGAGGGAGGAGGTGTCCTGGGTGGGAGATGCTGGGCGTCAGACTCCTCTTTGGGAAGCAGAGTCCTCAGTTCCGCTCCAAACTGCTCCGAAAGGGTGCCGGCATCTAGGGCACACTGACATCGACTGTAGGTTACGGAGGAAACGGTGCACAGCACACTGAAGCCAGACTGTGTGGATTCCAATCTGCCTCTACTGTCCACTGTGGGACCGCGGACAAGTGGCTCAACTTCTCCGTGCCTCAGCGTTCTCATTTGTAAAACATACTTCCCTCACGGAGTTGCTGAAACGATTTTGTGAAATTATGCATGTGGAGCTTTTAGACGATTACCTGGTTCAATATTAGCTATTTTGTTTTTTTTAAATATATTTTATTGATTTTTTACAGAGAGGAAGGGAGAGGGACAGAGAGCTAGAAACATCGATGAGAGAGAAACATTGATCAGCTGCCTCCTGCACACTCCCCACTGGGGATGTGCCCACAACCAAGGTACATGCCCTTGACCAGAATCGAACCTGGGACCCTTCAGTCCGCAGGCCAACGCTCCATCCACTGAGCCAAACCGGCCAGGGCAATATTAGCTATTTTGTTTTATAGATTCCAAAACTACTCTTAGATCTAAATTGGAGTTAAGGTTGGGATTCTCACTCCAGTTGAATAACAATGGACAGAATCTATTGCTTCCTAAGGAGGACAGGTGTCATTAACTTCGGGGCTGGGTCCAAGTTGAATTGCACAGCTGAGAGGAGAGGACTGAGTTAATAAGTGTCGACAAAAGGATGGCAGGATTTGGTTGTTTTGTCTTCTACGTGCTACATTTTTAAAGGTGAGGCTTAAAAACTAAGCTCTCTCTGCACTCAAGGAAAAGGAAACCAGTTTTATTGGAAATGGGCTCAGAGTTTAATGTTCTTATTCCGCTTATTCTCTCAGTGGAATAAGAAGAGCTTGAGGGGAGCAGCAGAGGGTCTTGGAGAAGTTGATGGCAGGAGATGGAGAAGTCCCTTGGCCTGCGATGGGAGAGAGGAAGGCCTGGTCCATGCGTGGCCCTGCTCCATGGAAGTAGCCAGTCCTGGGAGCAGGTGGCTACCTGATGTCCCGGGAAACGTGGGATCCTACGAACTAGGAGTTTCAGCCAGCCCCGAGATCCCAGTGCCCCACGTGGTACAGGGCAGGAGGCATCCACTTCAAGGAGCCACGGTGGGCGTGGACAGTGATGCCAACAACAACCAAGATGAACCTGTGGGTCGCGAACAATGAAAATACATCCCGCATATCAGATATTTACATTACGATTCATAACAGTAGCAAAATTACAGTTATGAAGTAGCAACGAAAATAATTTTATGGTTGAGGGTCACCACAACATGAGGAACTGTATTAAAAGGGTTGCGGCATTAGGAAGGTTGAGAACCACTGGATTAGGCTTTCCCCGGCACTGACACCAAGTGTGAAAGCAAACATACACACGCATGCACATACGCACAGAAACCGTGGATATCCAAGCAACACCTGGATCCTGGTATGCCCTTGAGGAAGCAAGTCCAACAGTGACTGAAAGAGGGTTTCTGAAGTCCAACAGTGACTGAAAGAGGGTTTCTGTTTAAGTCACAAGTAGTTTTAGAGAAATATTCGTTTAAATTACTTGAATATTGTTTGAACTCAAAACAACTTAACTAGCCCCACATGTTTTTGTCTAGTGGCTCCAGTCCTTTCTTCAGCTTCCTCGCCCATTCCTCACCCCGTTTACTTCCAGACTTGGAAAGCAGGTGGTCTTCGGAATTAGACAGACTTTAGGTTCATGCAGGCAGCCGCCCATTGTCTTCACTAGCAGAGAAGTGCAAGCAAGGATCCCGGAACGCTGGTGAACCTTGAACCCATGGCAAGGGCCTGAGTTATGCACCGACTGTCTAGTCCAGACAATGGGGGCTCAAGTTATTTCCTGATCAAATAGTCTCAGAGTAAATCCTTCTAATATTTACTGACCTTTAAGATAGTCTGTCTGGCCGAAACCGGTTTGGCTCAGTGGATAGAGCATCGGCCTGCGGACTGAAAGGTCCCGGGTTCGATTCCGGTCAAGGGCATGTACCTGGGTTGCGGGCACATCCGCAGGAGGCAGCTGATCGATGTTTCTCTCACATCGATGTTTCTAACTCTCTATCTCTCTTCCTTCCTCTCTGTAAAAAATCAATAAAATATATTTTTCAAAAAAAACAAAAAAAGTCTGTCTGTCTGTTACCGCAATTACCTGACTAAGAGCTAGATGTGTATCCAAAATTGAATAAAAGGCTGGCGAGGCCTGGGCACCAGTGGAAGTCCTTCCCCTTGAGTTGGACTTGCCCGCCTGGCCCCCAATATTTCCAAATTATTATTTCTTGTCTCGTCTCTTTCATTTGCGTGCGGCCTGGCCCCTCTTCCAGATCCTGAACCCTGAACCACGCAGGACATGGGGGAACATTCACAGGTCCAGTCTAGGTTCTGTCACTAGCTGCATCACCCTGGACAAGCTACTGTACTTAACTTTTCTGCACCTGTTTCTTCATCAGTAAAATGATGTTTCTCATCGTAGGAGTTGTTAGAAGAGTGAAATGGAATAGAGTGGTTTCCAAACTAGGTCCTGGAGAACCTCAAATCAATCTAGTGTTTTCCAAACCTCATGCACATTCCTTAGGCATATTTGTGTACCTCTCTATTATTTACTTAATCTCCTTCCTTAAAAATATCAACTCAAGGCCATGGCCTGGTAGCTCAGTTGGTTAGAGCATCATGCTGAAACGCCAAGGTTGTGGGTTTGATCCATTGTCAGGGCACATACAAGAAGCAACCAATGAGCGCATAAATACGTGTAGCAAATCAATGTTTCTCTCTCCCTTTCTCTATCTAAAAATCAATAAATAAAAAATTTAAAATATAAATATAAACTAATTTTTATGGAAATGAACTTATTCAAAAAGGAAACAATGTTACTACCATATGTTGGAAATACTTATTGCTTACCCTAGAGCAGTGATGGTGAACCTTTTGAGCTCGGCGTGTCAGCATTTTGAAAAACCCTAACTTAACTCAGGTGCCGTGTCACATATAGAAATTTCTTGATATTTGCAACTATAGTAAAACAAAGACTTATATTTTTGATATTTATTTTATATATTTAAATGCCATTTAACAAAGAAAAATCAACCAAAAAAATGAGTTCGCGTGTCACCTCTGACACGCGTGTCATAGGTTCGCCATCACTGCCCTAGAGTAGTAAAAATAAATACAACAAAATCAAAACAATGCTATTCAATTCTAGCTGGCTATGGTTATAAGCCAAAGCTCTGAGCTCAAAGCCTGGACTTCGTTTTAAAAAGATGATCTCAGTCCCGAAAGGCCACCTATGGCCTTATTCTATAGACAGAAGTAGATGAGTGACAGTCCAGGGCGGGGTGGGAAGTCGGATGGGAGTTACTGCTAATGAGCACGGTTTCTTTTTTTTTTTTTTTTTAAATATATTTTATTGATTTTTTACAGAGTGGAAGGGAGAGAGATAGAGAGCCAGAAACATCAATGAGAGAGAAACATTGATCAGCCGCCTCCTGCACGCCCCCCACTGGGGATGTGCCTGCAACCAAGGTACATGCCCTTGACCGGAATCGAACCCGGGACCCTTGAGTCCGCAGGCTGACGCTCCATCCACTGAGCCAAACCGGTTTTGGCACGGTTTCTTTTGAGGGTGTTGAAAATGTTCTAAACTGAGTGGTCGTAGTTGCACAATTCTGTGCACGTACTAAGAACCACTGAATTGTACACTTTAAATGGGTGAACTGTATAGTGAGTTACATCTTCGTGAAGCTGTTACGAAAAAGAAAGATGTTAAATCTGTTTCTTGCTCCTTGAGTAAATGAAGGGGTGCAAAGATCCCTGAGCCAGGACCACCAGGGCTGCGACACCCCTCCCCATCATCTCCTGGTGGTAAACTTTGCCCCTTTGTGAACGGGTTTAGCTGTAATCCCTCAGTGTCAGCTAATATTCCCCCAAGCAGCTCTGTCAGTCAAGTCAAACTTGGGTTTATTCCTCCCTACCCAGCAACGGACCAGCATCATGATTCTGGAGAAAATCACCCGGCCCGTTTCTGTTACCTGTAAAGTGTGACAGTACCTGCCCCGGAGGGTGTAATAAAGGTGGGGGGAGATGTGTAGGTCCCGCTCCTGACACACAGCTCTCAACAGTGGTGAGGCAGGATGGGAAGAACCTAGGAAAATTCCTTGGCAAATGGGATGGGAAAACTGAGGCAGGATCATTAAATAAGGCCAACA